CGTACGGCGAAGTGATCAGCGTCATGATGGAGCTGTGCAGACAAATACGAAATTGCGCCAAAACGAACATTCAGAAAACTTCGATGCGGCGTGAATGGGTCAGGATTTTATTGACTGCCGATGCACTGTCAACAAGGCTTTTGTCATCCCTACCACGAAGATGTAAATACGTCCCGGGAAATACGCCACAACATTTCACTGATTTCTAACAAAATGTCTCTATTGTCAGTCAAGTCAAGCCCGGAATTCGGCATGGAGCTTTTTTCGGCCTCAAGAGTAAAGCTATCCTCGGGGGTGGAGCTACGTCGCGGACGTTCTATGTTGCTAAGACGCGCACCACTGTACCACGTATTTCTATGGGCTTTGTGCGCGCTGCTGTGGAACGCCGGTGGAGCCGGTGAAAACTCAAGAAAACAACACAAACTCAACTTTGAAGTAATCCTGAACAACCAAATTCATATATGTTACACACGTAGGGCTAATCTTGTTACACTGTTCAGGGGACTCTCAACAACCATCGCAAAGTACCGTTTTCTGCGAGTTTTTGGTCTTTGTTTTCACCGCGAGGGTTGCCAAGCGTTAGAAAATGCCTGGATGTCCGCCCCCGAGGATATCCACAGTCCCTCAACACCGGGGACTGTGCTATGTCACACTTATTCAGTGCCATGTTTGAAAGTCGTAAACAAAGAATGTTTATACACGCAATGCGACTTTTCCAAGAATTGTAAAAATCATTTTGCAAGTCAATCGAAAAATAAAACTTGTTTCGTATACTAAATGAACACCAATAAATCTAGTGATCTAATAATGGCGAGGTATACAAGTAAGGTATGTGTAGAAAATCACGTAGACGGCCGCCGTGTTTGACCGGAACATCAAGATCGATACTACGGGTACACCGGACCACAGTCTCTCTAACCGGATGTTTTACACCAGCACTTGTAAACGAATACACATACGTAACTTCGCAACAAGGATTCGTTCATGTTCAATCATGAATGCACCTTGTGTACTGGTAATTACACTCGCTATTTTGATATGACGAACTTACATTTGAAACACGAAAACAAATCATAATCGTACTACAAACTAAACTAAATCTAGACCCTTTCCTCCTTTCAAATACGTTTGGCCACAGTCCCTCTATCATAGATAGAGGGACTGTGGTTTGGCGAGGGCTGCTGTGTTGTCTGGCTGGATAAACAACCTACACGATGTGAAATATTGCCAGGTTCGTGGAAAACAACACTTCAACGATGTAGGATATGGCTCAATAAAAATAAGAACAAATTGGAACACACGCGAGAAAGGGTACAACTACAGCTCCCTGGTACATCTCGACCCAAAAATTTCTCGACCCAAGACACTTCGACCCAAATTGGACATCTCGACCCAGACACCCTGGGCATACCCCCGACACACCGACCCGGACCCACTAAACACAGCCCGGGGCCTCCCAGGGCCTCCCGGGACGTACATTCCGGTCTAAAAGTTGCCTGTGGGTGCTGGAGTGGGTTAGAACATGAATACACTGTGTGTGGCCAAAACAAAATAATAACCGAAGCCTAAGGACAGCAGTAATGGTACACAAACACATATTTTACTTACGTAATTCAGAGGGAAAGATTTCTTTGGTGTGATTATCTCGCTGTCTTAGGACAGCATTTTATGTAGGGTAATACGTTGATTACCAACGACAAATGATCATTTGCGGGTCACGAATTGCAGCCACCGACTTTTACCGGATGTCACCAGTACACTATATGCTAATTACTAAGGTCGATGGCCTGCTTTGGGGTCACAGGAAGCGCCCATCCACTTCTATGGACATCATCAATACTTCAGATACTAACTTGCATAGAGTTTGCAACTATGTGTAATACTTGTTTATGAACTGACTTATTTCGTGCTTGTGTTGCATTTCACAAATCGATTGCTTCATATGACTATCGGAGCCTGCCTTTTTGTGCTAAATTAACCAACGAAACAAAGCCAACATTGTCTGTGGCTAGACTTATAAATAAACACACTACCTAAACATATACATTGTATGTGTGTAAATATAAGATGAATCAAAAACACTTTTCTAGTGTCTTTGTACGATTCCTCGATTGAGGCTCACTAAACGGTGTCAAAGATGAATGTGCCTGTCATTTTAACGCCATAGGTAGTGTGAAATTAAGGATGAGACCCAGGTTTGTGGGCGCTTATATTCAAACCTGTATTTCACAGTGAAGATGGCATTTGAACACCTACATGTTATATATGTTTAGTTAGCTCTGTGTTTCCAGTTGTGTGTGAAAGTATATTTTTTCTTTTCAAACTAAAGAAGTGTGTGCGTGTTTATCTCGAAAATTGTTTTTTTTTTTTTTAGTTTTTTCACTGAAAACAGAGGTACGGAAAACATGCTGAAGTAGCAGCCATCCTGTCTATTGTTGTAAACTGGTCAGCTGGCTGGGGGTCGGACCGTTTCCGGACAATACAATGCGAGCCTTTGTTTTCTTGAAATGGGAGTCAAAAGTGAAAACTTTTCAATTTGCGAATAAATTACCGTTTGTTTTTATTGTACTCATCGAATAATGCGATACATACAGTTATTGGGGTGACCACCGAACTCGGCCAGATTTCTACTCGGCCAGTGACCGATCACGGCCAGCATATATGTTAATGGTTTGTCAAAGGATGTCGATCTCAGTGATGCTACAGCGAGCGCTGTATTACAGACTGCCAGAGTCATATCACAATAAAATGTAAAAGGTGTTGATTTCAGTGATGCCTATCGTGCTTTGTTAATAAAAAAAAAGGGTTGTCGATTTCAGTGACGCAACAGCGAGCGCTGTATTACACACTGCCAGAGTCATATCACAATAAAATATAAAAAAATGTACGGGCGTCAAAGGGTGTCGATTTCAGTGATGCTTATCGCCCTTTGTTAATAAAAAAGGGGTGTCGATTGTTAAAAAATAAAATATGGCCACAAGGGTTATCGGTTTCAGTGACGCAGTGCTTTATGGTTACAAAAACGTTGGGGTTCGTGTAGCCACGGTTAGTAACCGTGGTGTAACCCTCATGGTTAATTAACACATCGTGCAAGGTGTGATTCTTTTGTTAGACGCTTGTTATTGTTTCCGTGTCACAAGCGGCAGCAACGAGCGCCGTGTTATTTATGTAAAAAATAAATACTGCACGGACGGCAAGGGTTGAATCAAGAATGGTGAGAGCATGGAAGGTACTAACGGAAGGAGCCACGACGCTATTGTTTTAGCTTTACCCCATGATCGTTTGTTCACAAACATTGGTTCTGTTAGCTCTTAA